CAGAAGGAGTACAGGATTAAAATGCTGCCAATCTTGTAGAAGTACATTGTACTTCGAAAGTGTAAAGCACATATTGTTCTTACTCTCTTTAAGATAATAAATACAACTAATGTTTATGAAAACTCATATTCTGTTCAATTCTTCATGATAGAATTGAGTTTGTTGATCATTTGAATGAATGTATCATACGAATTGAATTCATTCTATGTTGGCATTACAGTAGAATGAGTACTTTATGAAAATTATATTATTATTATTATCATTATTACTGTCACTATTATCATTACTATGATTAGTATTAATACTGTTACCATTACTATGGTCATTATTAGTAGGATTACTATTATTAGTATTGTTACTATTACCGTTACTATTACCATTATTACTGTTATTATTATTGTTGCTTAAAAAGCGCTTCACTTAACGCCATATCGAGCCAATCCCCAACACGATGTACATATGCCAACATCACACTGATCAATGGCAGAGCTAAATAACAATAGGACGATCCACGTGAAACAACGTCAAGTGAATTTAAATTCACACCATTGTACAAAGCGAGTGGCGATCAGGACTCAGTGGGTGAGTGAATAACGCGATGGCGTTTGAAGTGAATGGTACTGGGTTGGAGTGCCGGAGTGAACATCAACTCTGAGATGCAGGTACATCCAGCTGACCAGTCCCAAATAGCACGAAACGCGCATCAAACTGCATTCCACTACTAGTCACGATCTATCATTGATTACAAAATATTATTAGTATTCTTACTGTTACCATTCCCATTCCCATTATTACTTTTACTCTTACTCTTACTATTATCATTCTTTCTATTCTTATCCCTATGGGAATACAATTTAACTCATTTTACATAGTAAACATACAAATAATCATACCATTAACAGGAAATAACTAAGAGAAGAAGAAAAGAAAATGTTAACATTTTTCTTTCTGTTTTAGTTCTTTCTTTTCTTCTTCTTCTTCTTTTTTGTTTAAATGAAGTAATGAAGTGTATGTTTGATATAGGTGGAATGTGTTCAATGTTACATTGGACATGCACATGTCAATTATACATTGAATGATTGATTAGTTGACTTTATTTTAGAAGACAATGTATAGAAACTATCGATGGAAAGATGTTAAGTAATGTAGTTTAGATAAAGATGGATCGTAGCTAGTCATTGAATAGAGTTTGATGTGTGTTTCGTCCTATTTGTGACTCGTCAGTTGGATGTCATTGCATCTCGGTGTTGGTATTCAATTTAAGACTCGACCTTAATACTGTTCTGTTCGAATACCATCTCATTATTCACTAAGTTATAGTGTCCTGTTAGACATTTGCTTAATAAATGGAGCCAAGTTTAAATTCATTTGGTGTTGTTTTACTTGGATCTCTCCATGAACGTTGAGGACTGTCATTGATCAATCTCACTGTCTTCTCAAGATTACGGGTGAACCTTACTGATGAGTGCCAAATAGCATGAATCCTCGGTTCAGAGTTTCCTGTTGACTACCTTCAGCCATCATCTTATATTCAGAGTATTTTCCGAGAAAACTAAAATGATCTTCAATGAACTTCATTCTTGTTTAATGGAAAGACACCAGTTTTGGACAATTTATTCTGTTGCCGGTATGTAGGGGAAGGGGATATCGAGATTGTACTTGTTAGATCATTCAGCAATAATCCTTCACACCTCTTCTAATGCAAATATAGTATTTCATTCATACATATTGAATTGTAATCCTTTGTAGTCAGAGATCATCTCTTTTACTCATCTGATTGTGTTTCAAATGAAGTGAAGAAAACTTCATTCGAATGATTGGATCAGTTACTGGATCCATTGGTTACTCCTTTGTCATCCATTACATTTACCATCATTCACTCAAAATTGATTGATCACTCGATGGTGATTAATATCATGTGTGTCAAGTCCTTCTTAGTGCGAATCGAATGCTATGTTCAGTCACCTAGACTCACCTAGTGATCACATTACAACTTGGTCGATACCATTCTATCTGCACTAACAAGGATTTCACATACATGGCATTGATCATCACAAAGTGAATACATCTCAGTCCTACAGGAGGTCGATCGCGACCCGGATATGCCAATGTTAATGCCTCTACCTGTGAAGCTAGCTGACATGAGATCGAATCCATTAGGGAGCATCAGTTCCCTTAAGATTACAGATACACCTTGCTGACGAGTATGAAATAGCACGAAACCCGTATCCAGGGTTTCCTGTTGACTACCTCCAATCGCCATACTACCATCATTCACAAACTGTAATACTACTACTACTACTACTACTACTGATTATAATAATAATAATAATACGAATAATGGTATACTTACTTCATAAAGTCTTATCACATTTGGATGATGTAAACTTTCTAAAATCGATATTTCTTGACTTAATAATCGTCTAGTTGATGTATTCATTTTACTTTTATCTAATACTTTAATTGCAACACGTTCTTCACAATGATATTCATAATGAAAATAAAGAAAAAGAGAGAAAAAAGAAAAGAAAGGGGGATGATGTAACTGTATTTCAATTCAATAAAGTAAAACAAGTGCCATGGCAACAATATTCACATTCAAATGTATCTTATATAATTAGAATGAACATGATTGCCAATCTATAAATGAATAATCCATATGTGGTTTAATGGTTAAGCGCTCGTGCACGAGACTGATAGGTCCTGCGTTCGAATCTCGTCAGGTAAGACCGTGGATGTGCACTACCAAGGAGGAGTTTCACAAGAGCACGAAACGGTTGTCCAATTGACTCATGATCTCAACAGCTGAACTTATTAAGATCTTCACAAAACCCTCTTCTTTTAGTAGTCTTGAATATCAATGAGAAGATTTAAGTAAACAATATGAAGTTGGTTAGTGTGTTCGGCTTAGTGATCTAGAGGTTAAGTGTTTGTAAGTGACACCGAAAGTTACGGGTTGGAATCTTGTGTGAGGGATCGTGGTTGTGTACTGTTGAAGAGTTTCACAACAGGTCGAGCAATCCATTGAGTGGAACTCGTCTTTGCACATCAACTTCATTGATTATGAGAAGGTATCTGACAGTGTAGATAGGAGAATGTTATGGAAACTTTTTCGATATTATGGAGTTCCTGAGTAGATTGTCAACATTATCCGAAACTCATACGACGGACTACATTGCAAGGTCGTGCATAGAGGACAGCTGACAGACGCATTCCAAGTAAGGACCGGAGACAGACAAGGCTGTCTACTCTCTCCCTTCGTCTTTCCTCTGGTGGTCGACTGGATTATGAAAATCTTGACATCTGAGAGGAAACATGGCATACAATGGACATCTCAGAACCAATTAGACGATTTAGACTTGCAGATGACCTAGCCCTCCTATCGCATACACACGAGCAAATGAAGATAAAGACAGCCAGTGTGACAGCAGTCTCTGCATCAGTAGGCATCAACATATACAAATGAAAAATCAAGGTCCTCAAATACAACACGGAGAACAGAAATCCAATCACAAATGATGGTGAAACTCTGGAAGCTATACAATCCTTCACATACCTGGGAAGCATCGTCGATAAACAAGAAGATTCAAATGCAGACGTAAAGGCGATGATTGGCAAAGCAAGGGCGGCATCCCTTCAATTGAAGAACATATGGAATTCAAAACAATTTTCAATCAGTATCAAAGTCAGAATCTTCAATACGAACGTCAAGGCAGTCAGTTCAACTGTACGGAGCTGAAACTTGCAGAACTACAACAACGATCAAGAAGGTACAAGTATTTATCAATAGCTGTCTACTCAAGATACTCAACATTCATTGACCGGATATCACCAGCAATAGTTTTTTGTGGGAGAAAACAAATCAACTTCTAGCTGAAGAGGGTAATTAGGAAAAGACGATGGAAATTGGTAGGACATACATTGAGGAAATCATCGAACTGCATTACGAGGCAAGCGCTAACTTGGAATCCTGAAGAGAAGTGGAAAAGAGGAAGGCCAAAGAACACATTACGTTGGGAAATAGAAGAGGGTATGAAAAAGATGAATGAGAATTGGAAAGAGCTGTAAGGATTGCCCAGGACAGGTTTGGATGGAGAAAGCTGTTTAGCGGTTTATGCTCCTTCGCGAGGAGTAACAGGCGTAAGTAAGTTAGTTGAACCATTATCAATATATATTATGTGATGATTGCGCCGATTGGAGAACAGTCACGTAAAACCTGTGTGGGTTTTGAACTTCTACAAATGGAGTCTTGCTAACTGAATCCACGTTGTGGCGGCGTTATTTATGGAAGAAAGTGGATGAAGAGTGAACTTATGGGACATAAACCGGGTTGAGAGGTATGTAAGCATCGCTTAGGGTAGCCTTTCACCCTGTTAACATATGACGTAACGATACCGTTAATTAGATGAACGG